TCAACAAGCTCAGCACCCATGCGAGCCCACTGCGCGCCTTGGCCTGTGAACACACCCAACAGGCGAGCTTCCTTGGTGCTGGTTCCGGCAGCCTTGGAATCCAACTGGAAGTTACTATTGCCAATAATGCCCTTCAGGTTGGTCTGGAGTACCTCAATAGTTGACGCTGGTAGCGCCAGTCGCAAGGGAAGACGAGAGCGGCGTGATCGTAATGTCCACGAAAGGTCTGAAGGGCTAGTTTCGGGATTTTGCCCCAAGTACTCGACATGGGCGGCGAGACTAGACAGGAGCGATTGCTTTGACTGTGCGGAGAAGAGGAAAGGAGCGACGCTTTGGGTGTCAATGTCTTCCTTGGAACTGGACGCCTCATATCCCTCGAGAATGATGTGCGCGTTTGTACCACCAAACCCGAAGCTGTTCACGCTGGCTCGCCGGCTTTGACCCGGCGCAAGCTGTGGCCAAGGAGTAAGTTCCTGGGGAATCTCCAAGTTGCTGTAGAAAGGCAAAACGTTTGGATTGAGGGTTTCCAGCAGCATGTTCGGTGGTACATAGCCGTGCTTCATGGCTTGCACGACTTTGAGAATACCGGCTATACCGGCTGTGCTCTCCGTATGGCCGATGATGGTCTTAATGGAACCGACGAGCAGACGATCCGCGACAGGATCCCTGTTGCCGAAGAACGCGGTGTGCACGGCCTCGGCCTCGACTGGGTCACCTGCCGGCGTGCCGGTGCCGTGAGCTTCGAAATATTGGCACCGATCGGTGTCGGACTCCGGGTTGAGTCCTGCCTTGGCATAGGTCGCGCGGATAAGCGACGCCTGCGCTGCTGCACTGGGCATAGTAATGCCGCGACTACGACCATCTTGGTTCACGCCGGTCTCGCGAATAATGGCTTCGATATGATCTCCATCAGCTAGCGCGGCACTTAGCGTCTTGAGAACAACAGCGGCCACGCCGTCACCGCGGGCGTAGCCGTTAGCACCTTGGTCCCACATGCGAGAGCGACCATCGGGAGAAAGCATTTTCAGCTTGCTCTCGTGGATATAAGGCTCTGGACCGAGAAGAAGATTACTTCCGGCGGCTAATGCGACACGGACCTCTCCGGATCGCAGAGCCTGGACGGCTTGGTGCACCGCGACCAGACTGGAGGAGCAGGCAGTGTCCACAGTGAGTGAGGGTCCATGCCAGTCGAAGAAGTACGATATCCTGTTAGAAACGATACTCCGAGCGGTACCTAGGGCTGTTAGTAAAGTCTTCATTGTGTTAAAGGATGCAACTCTCACCTATTGCAAGGTACGTTGGGACGTGCTGCAAGTCTCGAAATTGCAGAGATTCGTAGTCGACATACATAACACCGACATAAACACCAGTGTTGGAGCCTTTGAGGCCTTCGATAGTCAAGCCAGCGCCTTCCAAGCCCTCGTAAACTGTCTCCAGAAGGAGGCGCTGCTGAGGGTCCATAGCTATTGCTTCCGGCGCTGTAATATTAAAGAATTGGGCGTCGAACTTGGCGACATCTTCTTGAAGTAGGTAGGAGTGCTTGACGTTGGCGTGACCGGGAAACTGAGAATCCTTGTGGTGAAATCCGCGAACGTCAAATCGACTGGGCGGAATCTCACAGAGTACGTCGCGCGGTTCTCGGAGCAGATCCCATAACTTGGAGGGCGAGCTGGCACCTCCTGGAAACCTGCAGCCGCTTCCGACAATCGCAATGGGCTCGTTCCCTTGTGAAGCCATGTTTGGGGAGGCCATACTAAGCGACTGGACGTGCTTAGAATAATGTGATCGGGACGGTTGACGAAACCTTCTAGAGAAGCCCCTTGATAATGATGGTAGACGATTGTTGGTATTGTACAATGTGGCAAGCTCAAGAGACGCTGTGTAATCCCCGCGTGATGCGTTCAAAGAACAAGAATAAGAGGCGCGATCTAAGCCGTCGTTTCCAAAGGTACTATTTGACCAACAATTGGACTCAGACTACAATAACTATGCCTCTCAAGCTTCAAATCTCCAGCTCGGGAACATATCACTTACCCGATTTGGATCCAGACCTTGAGGCAAATATTGAACAGGCAGTCGTTGGATTCGATCCCTATCACCTGTCATCGTAGAGCCCAGGCCCTGGATGCAAACTGGTCCCTGCAGCTCTGCCTTAGTGGGCTCCGAATCCGCGGTCAGGGCCAGCTTACACCCCCACGTCGGGAACAAGTGGGTTCGGCAGGATCAGCCCGGCAGGATCACGTCTTATGCCTCCGAAGGTGTGAGAAAGCCCTCCGAACGGCCTGATTAGGATCTTACGAGTACAACGTGGGGGCAAACCGATTGGCCAGAACCATTCTTCAGAAGGAATCCTTCAGACAGAGACCCGTAGACTTCGCTTTTGGGTAGTGAGAAGGCTGGGTTCTGTGCGAAAGAAGCCGATCACCGAGTCGGTGACTTTACCTGCGGATGTGGCGGCTGAGGCAGGTTCATCGCCACGTCTTTCACTTTGCTTGCACGCTTTAGGCTTCTAGGTCTATGGAATGCGCGGATGTCCGGTCTAGGGCTTTGTTCCTTACTCATCCGTGATGGAGACATGAAGTCTTACATGTAGTCGCCGCATTCTGTTAAACTTGGAATTGATCGGGCCGGGCTGTCAATCCGTTTTGGCGCGTCAATCCATCCTGTTGCCGCCACCATGCTGGATCTCGAGTTTCCTGGTAGGGGTTGGGCAACTCGCGATAACGCCACGATTGCCTTCGGCTGTGTTAGTGACCCTCTGCACCTCGATAACCACTCCACATACTATAGAGTGTCTAACCATCTTCTAGATCATAGCCTATAGTGTGATTCGAACCATCTATTTGGTTTGGTTTCATCCTTTAGCAAAATATCCTGGACCCAGAATTGCGTCAGTTTCCAACGTCTGGTATGGATACCAATGGTAGGTTGACAAACTTCGACAAAGGGAGTGCATCCCAGGAAATAGCCAAGACTGATTTATTGTCTTCAGGCTATCCGGTCGTTATCCTTGGGCAATGCAACGAGCCTTCAAAAATTATGGTGAGCCGTAATCACTTTCTGGTGGGAAATTGACTTTCTCACATGAATAGGCGATGTTGTTAGAATTGCACCCAACGAGCTGGTCTTCATAACTCCCAAAGCCTACACAGGTATGTTCTCTGCGACCTGTCCTGATGTTGAAATTTTTAACGCAAAGTTGGAAAGACATCTACACCAGCAGCATCAATGGACGGCCTGGCTTTGTCAAGTCTGATATGCTCGACACCGGGGACAAGTACGAGGGCTTAGCCTCGGAGAGAGATATCGACAAGCACCGGGCTGCTCGTAAGCAATTGGCTCCTGCATTTAGTCCCCGGTCTTTAAAGCAGTATGAACCCATCATTCATGCCGACGTGGACGAGTTTGTCGAAGTGCTCAAGAACTCACCTGCGACTGGAGCGGGTGTCGACATTGCTCCATGGTTTGAGCGAGCCACTTGTGATCTTGGTGGCTCGATCACACTCGGCCACAATTTCAAAAACATCCAGTCTGGTAAGTGATACCCGGGCCTCAGTGCTTACGAACTCTTGCAACTAGATTGCGCTGGAATCTTGACTGACATGATCGCCGAATAGGCCAAAACCACCCTATCTTAGAGTCACTGTTGCGCATTGGTCACTGGGCCACATTCCGCAACGTCATGCGCCGCTTTCCCCTGCTCTATCCACTGTCCTATGTCTTTCTGCCGCCAAAAGTGGCTTTCAGCTACTTCAGAGCTCACTCGACGAGTAAAAAGCTCATCAGAACTCGTGTCGAGGAGCGTCACGACCGCAAGGACTTGGATTACATGACCCAATTCCTGAAGAACGAGGAGGCGCTCCCGCCAGATGGTTTCCTCGTGTCTCAAGCCGGCCATCTCATTCTTGATCATTACGAATCTTCGAGTGTCTTGACGGCGGGTATGTGTTTCTTGACAACGAACGATGAGGTCATGAGAAAGCTACAGAACGAATTGAGAACGGCTTTCAAGTCGTATGAAGATATTACGGAGGATAAGCTTCAAGATCTGCCCTGGCTCAATGCTACTATTGAGGAAGTCATTCGACTTCACACCAATGTTCCTTACGGACTTCCAAGAATCAGTCCTGGTCACACTGTTGATGGGAACTACGTGGCAAAAGGCGTAAGTAATCCGGGCTACTCTCCAGTCACTGCTCATCAGCACCTTCTCATTTCCTTTGTGAAGAAATCAAAACTGATCTCAGAGTCAGGTCGTTGTTTCGTCCTGCGCATATGCTACGACTCACTCGGAGAAGTACTTCAGCAAGGCGTACGAGTTCAAGCCTCAGCGATGGCTTCCTAAAGATCATGCAGAATATGACCACGTTTTTGATGGTGATGACCGAGCTGCCTTTAGGCCTTTTAGTGCCGGATCTCGCAATTGCCTTGGCCAAGCCATGGCCTACCTCGTGCTTCGCATCATGTTCGCAAAGCTTTGCTGGAAGTTCCAGTGGGAGCTCTTGAACAAGAATGAGATGGACTGGGATCGGGATCTTCGACTCTACATTGTATGGCAAAAGCCAAAGGTGCACGTTCGCATTACTCCTTTCGAGCGAAAGGTATGATCAGAGACATTGCTAAGTCTTCCGCACGGTTTTGTCCATGTACTAAGGTATTCTAAGTACCAGTCAAGCTTTGGCCCAAATGCAACAACTCCATGTATGTAGATAAGGTACTTGTGTGAAATGAGTTGTCTCAATTTCTCTTCAAAGATACCGAAATGGACACCGATGACGACGACGAAGGCGGTGATCTTGCAATAATGGCTACAGCTCCTTGTGATATCCGGGACTCTCCCTCTTTCTAGTGAAACTTGTTTGGGAAACAGACCAGCGGCTTGACTCATTGTGACGGCGCGGTGGCTTTAATCAAAAGATCTGCGATCTTAACAATAAAACTTGAGGCGGCTATGATTTCTAAGTTCTCCTATTCTAATTCCATGCCACCGCTGCTATCGTCTATGTGTTAGAGCCTCTGATCCGTTTGCTAGCCTGTCTAATAGTTTGAAAAGTCTCCCGCGTTTGTCTCATCACACCTCGAACAATTTCAGAAGTCTCTGAGCGACTAAGAATCCCAGCCTCGCCCTCGTTCGTGCCATCTCGTTGGTCCCAAATTCGAAACTCCGCAGGTAGACCCATTAGTCGCTCCACCGTATGCATCTGATACTCAAAGACTTGAGTCATCATCATGAGCTGTATGCTTGTGGGCTGCGCTAATAGCTGAGCCGCGCTCGCGGCCGATGTCCCTGATCCAGACCCTTCGCGCAAACACCTGCTCATGCGGTTGAATACGATCTCAAACAGCTCACCGAGCTGGACATATGTTGATAGAAGCATCAATGTCAAAGATAGTGCCGGTGGTGGCACAGGGGTCACGGACTCTAGGACAGTTGCGAACCGCATGGTAACATTGAGAACGCGGTTCCAAATGCTGAGGTCCCGGCCTCCTGGTGATTCTGTATCTTTCCCATGCTGAAATGCGTCTTTTGTGAGATGCGGGTTCCAAGACTCCCATGGCTGATCCTTGAGTTCCGCTAATTGATGAGAAAGGCTGCCAAGGAGGCCTACCACATGGGCCCCCGTGTCACCAGCATTCGAGGTGCTAGGTGTGGCGATCCTGCTTTGACCAGAGAGCTTGTCTTCAACATCCGTCATTGGCTCGTGAAGATCCCTGTTCAAGTGTTCGGCCATGTCGTTTAGATCTCCGAAGTCGAGATCGGGGACGCTTAAGTCGGAGAAGACGTGTGAGTGTGCTCTTGACGAGGGTATGGTGGGCTCGTCGGATGTTGACATCGCAGTCGGGAAATTTGATGCATCTAGCCACATGGTCGAGGTAGTATCAACGTGATCTAGCACCCTATTGCTGGTGAAGAACTGCGAGGGGCCTGGATCTGGCGGTTGGCTCTGTGTTGTCGTCGCAGGATCCGTACCCATTGTGACACGCACACCGCGATGCGTTGAGGAGCGACCATTCCGGGCGCCGTACAGCGATCGACTATCCTCGACCTGGCCACGGTGGTTCGCATGTATTGGAGGCCGTCCCAATGGCCGACCGATGCTCGTGACACACATCGCACCTAGACGGAGACAGCGCTCGCAGGTGCCACCATCCGGTTGGCTTCGGGGACATTTGAGCTTCTGCTCCCGGCATCGGTCGCAAGCGTATCTCTTTGCTGTCTGGTTGTTCATAATACCGGGAGGCTGTTCCGATTAATCGTCCGTGCGATATGATCAGGGGGTTGTCGCTCCGCGTGTAAGTCTCTTTCGGTGTATTTGAAGTCATTCGGAGCGGGAGCCAAGACCTTCGGAGGCTCAAGGAATATTTGAGTTATGTTTTTGAACAATTATCAGACGAACAAATGTGACATTCTAGTGCGCAGGCACTGAATCCTACGCTTTCCCAATCCGACTAAACGTACGTTCTTCGTTTTTCAGCCCACTTTCACGCTCTCTTGGTAGACTACTTGGGCGTCTAGGGCCCTCGCTCATGCAAGTCGAAACTCTGAAATTGTCTCAAATTTGACAGCTTAGGAAACTGGCCAAGACATTTTGCTAGCGAGAAGCAATTGGGGCATCCTACAGGTTCCTTATCCACACGAAACCTGGTTGTAGGAATGTGTTATTCGTGGGGTTCCATCGACAACTGACTAGTGGTGCTAGGTTTCCCGCCACTCGCGTAGCATGTCCAATTATACCAAGACAATTACGGCTTATTATCCGTAGAAACCCCCTCTCCTTCCGATCTGACCGACCAGAGCTCCAGGCAACTGCTTTGAATATGCAGTGAGGGCAGTCCTTGGCAACGGGTCGCATCTGAGGTGGGTTCTCTCGAGACTCGGTTGCTTAGTCTTGGCGCTAATACCATCCAGCCGGCGAAGGAGTTCATTGCGGGAGTTCCCCACCACCGGAGCAGTCCCTTGCCTGGTAAGGTCCAGCAGCCGGGGCCCATAGCCAGATCTATCCATTCCTTGTCTTTTTCGTATGGCAAAGTGAAAAAATGGTTAGCGTCTCGGACAGACCCGTTGAGGATTGGTATGCGGGGAGTGGTACGGGCCGCGTATACCGGTTATGATGCCGTGCATCCACAGAGCCACAGTTGAGTCTACCAGACTACCTCACTCGTGCATCATAGATTCGTAGTAAGCCCTCAGCCCCAAAAGGTAACCCATTCGATGCAGTCAGCAAAACCCCGGACACAGTCAGCGAAGTCTTGACCTGAAACGGACATACGGATAAGCCCTCGTTCGGCCACTTTACAAAAAGGCACCGAGAAGGCGTGTTTGAATCAGACGATGTCCCACCCGTGGAGGATTCTGAACCCCGGATGAACGTAGGGCTTGGCATCCTTCGATCCACACTTGGAATACGACACGTTCTTCAATTCAATCTGGAAACCAAAGAACCTTCAAAATGCTACGTATGCATCCACATATCCATGCACGCGTCACGGTTAGATCCGACTACTGTCGGGCCTAAAGACTCTCCAGCGGCACAAAGCCACGAGCGACCTATGCATGGGGAATAGTCATTGCCCTTGATACTTGGAAAATGCTTCGCGAAATCTTGTACGCCTTCACTGGGTTAGCCCTGTTGGCTTATGCCGCAGATTTCTATTACAACGCTGGAGATGATCCAAATGAGCCGGTCCGGATACGTTCGAGATTTCCCCTTATCGGACATGTCCTGGGATTGATGAATCAAGGGCCAACCTATTACAGAAAGACAAGGTGCGTTGATTCACTTGGAGTTGCGATGAAGTATCAAGGGCACCTGATAATCAAATATCCGACAGCAATTCAACCGAAGCCGAGATCTATACCCTGGGATGTTTCAACTTCAAGGTATACATCAGTGCGTCCAGCCGGCTTCTACCATTCATCCAGAAGCAATCCAGAGCTCTGTCTTTCCGACCTTTCCTCCAGCTCGTTGCGCGAAAGTATGGTGATGCTTCTCCTGCGACTTACGAGATTTTCGGAGGCAGTCTGCCCGATGACCTAAGCCAGTCGGTGAAAATGAGCTTGGCTCCAGGCCGCCATCTTGATGAACTGAGCCTTCGAATGGGCAAGAGAGTCTTAATAGACATCGATGAATTGCTTTCAGCTAAGGCAGCAGTACCGTTGTTGTCTTGGGCTAGACATGCTGTTGTGCAAGCAACAAGTTGTGCCGTCTATGGAGAGAAGCACCCTTTTCTCGACCAGGACATAGAGAACTCTTATTGGTACTTCCCACCCTCTCTGATAGTCTCAAATACAATATCGATGCTAACTATATGTTTAAGGAAATGGATGACATATCTTACTGCCCACTTGGTTGGCTGGCTCGATGTGACGAAGAAAGGTTATGCGGCAAGAGAAAAGGTGTTTCAGTCATACATCAGGTACTGCAAAACGCTCCCCCAGGAGAGCTCTTATCTTATGAAAGAGCATCAACGCGTTCTGGGAGAGGCCGGGGTATCTAGTACGGACAAGGCTAAGCAAGCCGCCATCTTCACCATTGCCTCCTTCAGTAACTCAGCGCCGACTTTGTATTGGACCTTGTGGGAACTCTTCTCACGACAAGAAATTCTCGAAGAGGTCAGAGCAGAGCTTACAGAACACGCAGTTGTCGAGTCGGAAGACAGAGACTTCGTGCTTGACGTCGCCGCCCTCAAGTCTCAGTGCCCCCTCCTCCTCTCGGTGTTTCAAGAAACTCAGAGAACTCGCCACGTCAATCCCAGTTTTCGCAAAGTCTTGACAGACACGCTTTTGGACGACAAATACCTCTTGAAGGAGGGTAATTACCTCCAAGTACCCGGAAATGTCATCCACAACGAAACTGGCATTTGGGGCCCGACAGCTTTGCAATTCGACCCATATCGCTTCATACCCAAGAAGGGAGGCGAGCGAGATGTTTCGACTGCCAGCGGCTTTGTCCCATGGGGTGCTGCGCCGTACCTATGTCCGGCGAGACAATTTGCCGCAACCGAGATTCTCATTATAGCTGCGCTGCTTGCCATGAGGGCCGATTTATCACCCATGCATGGATCTTGGGACAAGAATCCAGCTGTCAATTATGCGGATCTTGCTACCCTTTCGCCGCCTATAAAGGATGTCGGCATGCGCGTACGAGTTCGAGAAGGGTGGGCTGGCAAGTGGACAGTGCAGATGGGCGAGAGTCGAAGCCGCGTGCCTCTCGCCTCCGGGTAGTCGTAATACCCCTTTCGAAGGCTTAGATAGTTCCCAGCGTCAATGTAAAAAGTACTTCGACCCTGTTGCATAACATGAATTGAAACTTTCGAGTACGTGAAACTCAAAACTACAAGCAATTTCTTTCCTTGGCCAAACATTCCGTCAGTCATCAATAGAGTTTCGGCATCTTTTAGCAGAATATCATGTGAAAGAACGCAAAGAGTTCTAGTTGTGATCATTCGTTACAATTGTCTTTCAGACCTATTAATCAGATGGCAGATTTCTGTCGAATCAACAAGGTCCGCTTCTTTGAACTCATGGTCATTTATTCCGTGATTTGTAGTAAAATGGCTATTCCTCAGACGGCAGGTCAACTACCATCGCGTATTGCTGTGAACGCCTCACAATGTATGAGTAAACAAGACTCAGTTGAAACCAAATCCCACGGACGCATAACACGCGGTGGTCTACATCTAGCTACAAAACTCTAGTTGCCTTTGTTCTGCTTGACAAACTCACACATGCAAGGATGTGCCATCTTCAAGTTCAACTCAATGCGGATCTGCTGCTCCGGCTGGCCAGGTGGAATCCGAATTTCTTGATACTCCTGGCAAATTCTCGCCAGAATGTACTCCATCTGTTGCTGTCCAAACTTCTGACCTAAGCAGTGACGAGGGCCACTTTAAATCATCAATGTTAGCTTGACTATGTCTTGAGAATTGTTGTCTGAAGGAAGTTTGAAGACTTACTGGTTGTACGGAATAAAGTGCCAGCGATTGATATTGGCACCCTCCCATCGCTCAGGTCGGAACTCGAGCGCATCATCGCCGTAAATGTCTTTGCGGCGTTGAAGACCACCAAGAGAGTAGACTGTGATGGTACTTGGATGAGCTACTTCATCTCCAGAGCTTCTCTTACGTAGTGCCACTTACTGATGGTTGTGTCCTTGGGAACTGCGACAGGGTCTCTTCCACTCTTTCCACCGCCGATCGGCAACGTGGCGTCCTTCAGGGCCATCCGAACGTTCATGCCAACTTGTTATGGTTAATCATCGGACACTCAATGGACTACTCAAGTACTACTTACGAGGGTGATACAATCTGAAGGTCTCGTTGATGACATGTCGGATGTAAGTCATCTCTTTGAGATCAGATGCAGAAGGTGGCTTATCGCCAGATCTGACAAGAGGAATTAGTCTCTCTCGTAGTTGATCCGGTACAGATTGATTTGCTTACACTTGCGTAACCTCGGCCTGCATTTTCTTCATAACGTTTGGGTATTTGCCCATCAGGAAGATAGCCCAGGCGATAAGAATTGCTGAGGGGTCCTGGAATAATCAGTCAGAAGTCAGGGGCTTCACAGTGTCCGACTGAATTGATCTACCTTTCCACCAAGCATGATGGTCATCATGGAGTCTTTGATATCCTGCAACCTCCGTGAGAATGATTCCCTTCGCCCCTGAATGATGCTTACTTACCTTGACACTCTTCTTCTGGCTCACAAGATCGTCCAACATGTTGTAATCTTCAGGCGACTTCTTCGACAAGTCTCTCGCATAGGCGCGATCGACAATGCCCGAGGTGTATCCATTCAATTCCTTCAAAGCCTTAGGAGCCAGGTACTTGTCCTTGACGTAGTAAGCATTCTTTCCGAACAACATGCGCGCCGTGTTGATGGGGTGGAGAGTCTCCATGGGATCTCTGAAAGGATGGTGTCCAGTAAGGGAGTTGGCAGACTCTCCAAAGAACACCTCAGAGACTACGTCGAGCTGGTAACGGTCGGCAACATCGTAGACTTCAATGGGCTTGTCGACGTCGAAACGTTTGAAGAGTTGCTGTGCATGCTTCTCGGTGATCACAAGATCGTCCGAGCGCATCTTCATAACCTGAAGAGTCGAAATCGTTAAGATCAGAATTGAGATGTGGCAAAATGCGACTAAGGGAGTGCACTTACATGCCCCTTAATGCGTTCTTTGCTGTTGTGCCAGTCTTCTCCGTCCACTGTAACCCCACATTAGTATACCAAGTTCACAAGATTTGATTAGCTTTAGCAACTTACCAACAAAGATCTGTGTCTCTCCGAGCATATCTCCCCAGATACGTTTGGTGACTTCGCCTCTTCCGAAGCTGGACCACTATTGCACGTTGTCAGTTGTCGTGCATCCAACAAACCCCGATCCCTAGAATCTCAGCCTAGATAAATCGCCAAGCTTACCTCTGTTGACATGATGGCCTTGATATTGGCGGGCTCATCAGTGAAGATGAGGCCTGTGCCGAACATACGCATCTCGACAGTACGGCCAGGTACGGCCTCGAGCCAGCTGTTGACAAGCTCGAAGAAGGTGAACTTGAAGAATCTGTACAAGGAGTACACAGCCAAGTCGATCCCTGTGCATCAAGTTGTGAGCTTTGAATGAATTCTCTGCAGGTGTGAGTACATACCAAAAGGCGCCTTGAAGGGAACCAAAGGAGGCGGGGAGCCGAAATCGCGAAGCCTCTTGTCGCGACGCGACTTCGCTCCCCAGTCGAAGACGTAGATGCTTGCGATGAGAAGAGTAGAGTACGCCGCCCAATTCCAGCTCTTTGTCATTTCCTGTGTCAACTTGGACGACGCAAGCGAGTTGAGGTTGGACTTGATGGCATCAGGGATGTACGGACTGATCACGCTGACGACATTGCCGGCGAAATCAGTCAAGTTGCTGGCCAAAGTCGTGGGCAAGCCCGCCGAGGGAATTGGGGAGGCCATGATTGCTTAGAGTTCCTGATGCTCCTCCGTCGTAGCAATGACAGACGAAGCCTTGGAAAATGGCAATATAAACAGCGCTTCTTCGGACTCTGCCCCTTGGATGAGATATATCATCTGAATCAGTACTCGAGGCAGTTCAGTCAAATTGGGACTTTGTGGGAGGTGGGATGTGGGGGTCGACGCGCAGCGAGTTAGCAGCGTCGCAAATGGGATGACTTGGAAGCCTGGACGAGACCGAGATCATGAGAGCCTAGAACGGGATGGTCTCAGAATCCTTCATGACACTTCATGCAGGGCTCTCGCCAACTGTGGGCCGTTGTCTTACTCTCACAAGCTTCCCGCCGTAGGGTTCCGGAACATCGGCTCGCTTACCGGATGGAATTGGCCGAGTCTGGTGCAGCAGAAGGAGTGGGGTTTGACATCCTTCTCGGATCGTTCTACAAGTAGACTCGGATCCGGCTTCGGGAACTTGTAAGCGCTGGGGGCCGTCCCCATCCGCCGGGCCCACTTCGGTTCGGAGCCCGGATTCGGAGGGTTCTTCGGAGGCTTACCTACTTGTATCCGAACAGGGGATGATATGCAGACCCAATCCTTCGGGAAACCGACGCATCAGCTTTGGAGATATCTGGAAGCCTGTCAAGGACCCTGCATAGAAGGGCTGAGTTGAAGATACCATGGTACACGCGCAGGACTATCGCAATAAAAGAGGGCAGTGTGTAGACGATGGTTTTTGATGTCAGTAGATGGTAAAATTGAACTACAAAGTCGCAAAAATGGCCAAAGGAACGACAATCTCAGCTCTTGTTCAATCTCCCAATGGCGGAGGCCCGCCGCTGGTCTCGCGAGACCGGCCCATGCCGCAAATCAGAGAGCCCCACGATGTCCTCGTCAAGGTTTCTGCTGTTGCGTTGAACCCAACTGACTACAAGATGCCAGACTACCATCCCGTACCCAATGCCATTATGGGCTGTGACTTCATGGGCACCATCGTCGCAGCTGGCCCTGCAGTCGACAGCACATGTGTCGGGATGCGAGTTTGTGGTCCCATGCACGGCTCAAATCCTGGCAACCCAGACTCTGGAGCGTTTGCTGAATACCTTATCCAAGATAGACGCCTTCTTGTTCGGGTGCCAGACTCATGGAGTGACCTAGAAGGGGCAGCTCTTGGAGGAGTCGGATGGGCGACTGTGGCACTAGCTATGGAGGACTCCCTTCTTTTGACAGGCACTCCATCAAAACCTGCTCCCTTGCGGTCTGACGGGACTCGCGTACCTGTTTTGGTATATGGTGGTGCCACAGCCACCGGCACTATGGCTTGCCAATTACTATCGAGGTACGTGCGATTGGAATCCTGGCGGACAAGAATTCGAACAAGTAGACTAACGTTCCACCGCAGTGCTGGCTATGACCCCATCGCAACCTGCTCCCCAGCTTCCGCGGCTCTTGTGAAGAAGTATGGGGCGGCTTCCACAACACCTTACTCTTCGCCGACATGCGGAGAGACGATCCGCGATGCAACAAAGGGCTCCATTCGAGCTGCGATCGACTGCATCACGACACCAGAATCCGTGAAATGTTGCTTCACAGCTCTGGGTCGCGCTGGAGCGAGGTATGCATCCCTCGAACATGCTCCCGATGAGTGGAGAACGAGAAAAGCAGTCAAAATGGATATGCCAATGACATATGTGGTCATGGGCCGCGAGGTAAAGCTTAATGGAGTTTACCACCGTGATGCGGACCAGTCCAAATTTGACCTGGGAGCCAGGTGGGCGCTTGAAGTTCAGACTTTGGTAGACGAGGGACGTCTGAAATGCCACCCGGCACGTGAAGTTCCCGGTGGTTGGCAAGGAGTGATTCAAGGTCTTGAGATGTTGAAGTCAGGCCAGGTTAGGGGGCAGAAGCTTGTAGTAAAGGTGGGAAGTGCCTAAGAGCAATATCTCCGATAGTTGTACGCAAGATACATGTAGTAAATACACAACAACCATAGTAAACCAGTCCACTGTCTACATAAATTCAAACGATGGTCTATAGTTTATTTTGCCAATGGAACCATGACTACAGATAACTACTTGTAAACGGGTCACTATCTTCCGTACGGGACCTAAGCTTCACCAGATCTGACATCTGGTTTGCTGGAGTGATTCAGTTCTTCGAGGAAGGAAAGTTCGTCATAGGAGCAAATTTACGTTCAGGGTTTCCTCACCACATTATGTGATACGATTCCTGGGGGCGTCTCTGTTGACGGCCTGAGAGGAATCTCCCAAACACAATCCATCGCTCTTCGTGACGTATATCGAGTCTCGTCCTTGTGAAGGACCTAAGTAGTTTCCGGTTATTTATAGGCCTTGTCCGAATGGGGCGCCAAGACCTGTCAGCTTCGGCTCAATTCCTTCAGCCCTATTCGGTGGCTTTCTTGTTCGGTCATGTACATTCGGTGCATTCCCCACCATTACTACGATAACACCAAATAATTACTGCTGACCGTTGGCTCATGGCATCTCTAGAGCTGCCTAAGCTAGGCTTGATCACATCATATAATCGACTGCATCATGTTCACATGCCTGTCCCTTGGAATCTTTATGTTGGACAGGAGGAGTATCGTAATCTAGTAGCCAGGGCCCCAGGAAATTCTCAAGTTTTCTTCTCCTCACTATTCTCACTTCATACTTCCGACCAACTCAACTTCATCTCATCCGCGAGGATGGCGACAGAAGCGGCCGGGGCCACCGGGCCGGCTTCCACAAACGGCGCATCGGAGAAGCTCGCTAAGCCCGCGACGGCTTCCGGTGTGAACTTTCCGTGGAGCAACAAAGATGGCATTTGGCGTCGTCAATTGGGCTCTATGGAGTCTTTCTACCAGAGCTTGGCGTCTCCCGAAGGCTATCCGGTCCACTGGATGATCGGCTGCAGCGTGACACTTCAGAACCAAGACGAGAGCATTGACAAGGAAGGCTCGATCCGCAGAGCTTGGAAGGTCGTAGCGAAGGACTTTCCCTGCGCTGGTGCTGTTGTGGATTCAGCTTCACGTGAGATCGTAGTTGGCGAAGATGCCATCACAGACGAATGGCTGCAAAAGAGCTTCCTAGTTCACGACGGAACAACCGCCGATGAACTCTTCTCTGCGTTCAAGAGCCAATTCCACATCACGCTCCATTATGTTCGAGACTCCAACCAACTTCTACTCCAGTCACCTCACACTCTTATTGACGGGCGAGGGATGTTGTACTTGTATCACGCCCTGTTCACGACACTGGCAGCTCTGCCAGATGACAACTCTCAGACGCATCACGAGACATCTGGAGCACCAAACCTTTCTAAGCCGTACGACGACTGGTTGGGGGTCTCGGCTACACCATCAGAGAAGAACTTTGCCGATGCGCAGTCCATCTTCCAGCGTGTTTTGCAACAAGAGAAACCTATTCGACTACCTGGAGTTGACTTCACAACTACCCCGCAAAGACCAGTCCATAGAGATCTCGAGGTAGACGAAAAGACATCCTCTACAATCATCAGTGCGTGCAAGGAAAAGGGGGTCAGCGTTACTTCAGCTTGGCACGCTGCACTTGCTTTGACAACGCAGGTGAGTTCATGTTTGCTGCTGGCTACTCCTTGGTAGTCGATGAATGCTGAAATTCCATGCTTGCAGAAACTCCAGTCGGAAGCTGGTGAAGACGGTTCATCCTACGTTCAGTTCACCACCATTGACCTGCGTCGCCATTTCCCTTCCTCTTTCGTCCCATACAAGCACTCAATCGGGTCGCTTCAAACCGCCTTGCCTCTCGCAGCGGACCTCAGCAAGGACAACACTTTTGATGCTCTCAGCAAGTCCCTACACCAGCAGTACAAGGCGCCTTTTGCTTTCGCCGACAATGATTTTGGCTACCTAACCCCTTACATGGCCATGTCGCGACAGATCCTTGAGAGCGGCGGCGTGCCACCGAGCAGCACGCCGTCTTTGTCCAGCATGGGAGTTGTTGACGATTATCTGCAACGCCAGTATGGAGCTTGGGAGGTGTCCAACTTTTGGGTGAGCTCCACGATGATGACTGGTGATTTCCAGATGTATTTGTGGACTTTCCGGGGGAAGCTCACCTTTAGTGTGTGCTACAATGAGGCATTTTACAGCGTGGAGAAGGTCGATCGTGTCCTGGGAAGTACTAGGGATGAACTACTTCGTGGGTTGACTCAGCTATAGGTCGCTAGGCGATGCGCCCAGAGCGGGCGCTAGAATAAAGCCTGGGAATGCTCATTCCGCCTGGGCTAGGCCCTGTAGCCCCTGAGATAACGCCTGAATGGGATTGAGCTACCTTATGATGTTGATGTTTCGACATGAAGTCTGTGCATTGACATGATGTCGTTGTCTGATACGTGGAAAACCTGACAAGCCTTATGTTACTGCCCATCGATAGGTACGATGCCCCCTTAATCACAGCGCCATTGGATCTTACTTGGTACATGTGTTTACGTGGTAGTTAATGGCCTCTTGTGCACAACGGTAGTAGAGGCTTGCGTGCCGGCGGGAGATTGGCGATGTTCGGATGCCAGCGTTTTACGCATCTAGATGCATCAATCGTGTGTTAAACCACATGGCCAAGTTTTGGCATGGAGTTTGCAGAGAGGTTCTTGAGTCTTTCTGTATTTCGCTACCAGGTCATTCAAGAGAGTGTATTTCCACAATCTGCAACTTGGGCATTCCCTATGTCCTGAATTGTTGCAATCACAACCAATCCTGTCCTGTCCAAGGAACTTCATCATTCGTCGCAAGTTAGTACGCAAGGAAAACACGAGGCCGCAACGCTACAAAGGCTAGCTCAAGTCGAGATCCGTCACCAATCAAACATAATATGCTCTACTTCCGAGGATTTCTCCGTCGAATCCAGAGTAGGCAATGGCTCAATGTCAATAAAGACAGAGACCTCCTCTCCAGGGAGCGATTCTACAACGCAATGTCGAATGAAGTCTACAAGATGTCGTTTCAGAGCATCGAATTCGTCTTCTCTTCCACAGGGAATTATCTGATCCGCATGAGTGTCTCGAGCCTCTAGTCGAATAAGGAGGTACTTGAGCTCGGATCGCTCAAACTCCAGAGGAAGCTCATTTTCTAGTTCGGCCAGCGTCTTGGTCCGGAAGCTTCCTCTGGGCTTCCAGATGCAGCTCCGGCGAGTCGGGTAACGAGTGATAATGCGATATACGAATTTGACTCGCGCTTGACGCAACGGTGCGGTCTGAGGTGAGCCGTCATTTTCGATTGGCTCTACAGCCATTGTCTGTGAACGTCTCATGTCCGCCAAGAAAGAGACTGTCTTCTTGTGTTCCACAGTAGGGCTCGTTGGGCACGTGTCAACTGGCGCTGATGCTTCGGTGCTGCTGATAACCTCATCTTGCTGAATTGAACGCGTATCAGTTTCGACGTACAGTTGCTTGGTCGCTTCATCAATGAATGCGTCAACAGAATCTTCTCTCTCTTCGACATCCTCCGCATTGACTTCCCCCATATGTAGATCCGACTCCGCTTGGCCACCAGTGACAGAGCCGCCAGGAACTTCTAGGTGGGCTCCAGATGACATGGCGCCGGCGTCCATCTCCGGAGGGGAGTCCTTATCCATTGCCTGCAAGGCCTCAAACAGTCGTTCGCCTGTTAGAATCCCATCGCGTTGAGGCGCATTGCGCTTGCGCGGCGAAGTCAGACTTGTTTGGGGATCGACCGGAGCCTCATCTCGCTTCTTCTTCGATGTCTGATGGAGAGACTGCATAGTGTCAACCCTCGGACGCTTGGGAGGAGGCTCGGAAGGGTTCATTTCAGCATAGGGCGCCAATTGACGATCTTCCATAGGGCCAGTCGAGGAAGTGAGGTTGTAGGGATCGTTCTATCAAGTATCCCGTATTAGAATCACACTACGTGACAATTCTACATGACGAATTTCGCTTACGGAATTATTCTCGACTTCTTGGCCATGACCTTCGGGTTCGCGCTGGAAGTCTGTGGCAACTCCCCTTTGCAATTGCAATAGCCCTTGAACCTCTTCCGAGGTAGAGTCTAATTCGTATGGGTCGACAATTTTTGAAGGAGCAGCCGCCTTATCTGTCTTGGTCGAGCTACGCCATCAAATGTAAGGAGAATACTCTCAGTATGTGCGGGATGCCGATCACTCACCTTGAGGTGGAAGGCATTCCAACCGCACTAGAGTTCTCGAGTGACTCCTCAATCTCATCTACATCGATGGGGTTCTCGTGACTACCTCTCCCATCAAGAGTGCGTGTGTGGACGTTGCCCGTCTTCACCTTGTTCTTTCTGTATTTGCCATTGCGGTGCTGCTGCAGGTTCATTCTCCAAAAGAGCTGCTTCAGGATTCGCTTGATTCTATGAGACATGAACTTATCAGCCAATTGTCTTTCTTAAAGAGACAGGATTGCCGTTATTACTTACTTCGTGCCATGACGGGAATACTTGAGCTTCTTAACACTGCCTTGGGCATGTTCATCCGGCCAAAGTCGAGCTCCGTTTCCGTCACGGTCGAGAAATTCATGGGCCATCTCCTCAAGAGCACTTTGATGCTCTGGAGACTTCCACTCGTACATCGCACTGCCTTCATAGCCTTGTCTGGTTTTAAAGGTCTTGCGGAAAGCCCGGACGCTGTCTTGGAATAATTTTGACTGACAATTCGACGGGTCAGAGTCGCCATATCCGAGCTGATGCCGCAGAGCAGAGACGGATGGAATGGACGTTGGATTGATGGAAGACGACATGGCTACCAAGTGAACAAAACACTTGGTAATGACAAGCAAGAAGCTCAAGTAGAGAGTCGTTCCAACATAGGATACAGAACACGAGCTGAGAGCATGGGTTGATTCAGTAAGACCACATGTTCCGCCAGCTGCAGCGCTGCTTTCTCTCTTGACGGAATGAAGGGGGAACTGCCCCCCATTA